CTCTCCGCTTAATGCGCCCGCCGCTTATTAAGCCCAATTTGGCCTGGGCCCGTGGTGGGTTTAATAGCCGGCGACTACTGTACCGGGATATTTATGCCACCTCAAGATGCCAGCTTTTGGCTGGGTTTCTTGAGCACCACCTGCAATAAGTTACGCTATAAGACAGAACTACGCATATATTACGATTTCATCTCATTTATTTTCAGTGCGGCTATAAGTTCAAATACCGAAAATATGCACAAATATAGTCTTGTTTGTTCCCGTTTCAGAGCAAATTACATCGTTTTCATAAATAAGGGAAACAGTTTGTTGGGCATTGGAGCAACTGGTTTATTGTCTCGAGCTTTCAAACTCTTATAAGGGTCACCTTCAGAGATAAGAAACAGCAACAATATTTATCTTTGAAGAAAGGGGTTACCTTCGGTCTTAAAACTCTCACTTGTCGAAGCATTTTGAAGCCAACCTGTCAGTATATTTGCATAATGATTTAAAACCTACAAACTTTCTACATTTAGTCTCAAGAAAATCACGCATTTCCCTACGCCATAGATAAAACGCTACAAAGTACTCGCAATTTTTTTATGGATGTGGAATATGTTGTACACCTTTTAAGCGGTATTAATAAAAAACAGATGCGATATTTTCACAGTCTTAACATCTCACAATAAGTAACACTTTCAAACCAGCAGGTGCCATTTCTTTAAATAGGAACGTTAAAGAAGACTTCTTTTGCTACCAACAGAGTACTGAAATCACAGTAACAGTTTAATATAGGGCTCACTACGGAAACCAAACCTCCAGGACTCTGTAATATATCACCGATGGTAATAGTAATTTATTTTAAATGATAAACTTAATATTTTATCAATTTATTTGGTTTAGTTAATCTATTTTCTATTCTAATTTATTTTTCAATTATCGCCAGTTTTTTCAATGCTATATTTTAGTTTTTATAGTAATTTTATTTACGATTTCCTGTTTTGTTTCATATATTTCATATAACCCTAGTGCCGTCGTCCTCTTATTACACAATTCTGGGGGGTTGGTTTCCATAGTGAACCCCGTACCAGACTGTTACCGAATACACTACTTCTGCTGGTGCGTTTCCTGTTCCCCATTGAAAGTGGAACTGGGCCTGATGATTTTAGTATCCTGAGTACAGATTCGCTAGTTTCGACCTCTCGCTCTCTCTTTCACCTGCCATATACAAACCGTGGTTGAACCAACTGGTGCTAGGATTGTACGTAGTGGTTAATATGGCGTGAATACCGGCGTCTACGCGTGCGTCGCTTATGCAGGTGCTCAATAACGAAATTTCTGCTTGTCTTTTTGCCAGGAAAAATGCTGAGACAGTTTAGTGGGTACGACCGGCTACTCACCCCTATAAAAACCATTAAAGTCTGATCTTTGAAATGGAACCTGGTCCACTGCCGTGGGTATGATTTAAATATCCTAAAATATGAGTTGTGAGCCCTCGCATTACGGATTTTTTGAACAATTCTTCACCCCATCATGCAGCTTGGGGCCAAATAATGCTTTCTAACGCTAAGTCGTACTTTTTATTTTTCAATCTTTTTAATGAATAAAAATTCGGTCCAGTCGACAACTAACAAGGATTTACTTGTGCAGTTTTTTGTCAATAAACACTGAACACAGAAAGTAAAACTTATTTTAGGTGGCGCATTGTGTTAAGATGACTTCACATGCCCATATATATTCACATTACGTTCCAAGAGGAGACTTCGATAGGCATGTTTTACTTCCAAGAGGGTCATAACTTCCACGCCAAGTTGAAACTGGGTGTAGGCATGCACAACCAGCATCATACAGATCAAAAGGCTGGGCCTACTGACGAAGGCGGCGTCCTTTACCCGTGAAGATAGCCTGTCCCACACCTTCTTTCGACTCACCCGGTTGTATTCCGACTCTAGTACCTCATCTCCGCTTGTTCCGACCGCAAGCAGAAGTATCACCAGCCAGGCGAGAGCCTTGCATAGTCCAATTCTAGCGCACCAGAAAGGCATCACTAGTGACAGACTTCCTCGTGTTGTTTGAAATAGAAATCGATAAGTCGAAAAGCAA